AAGGGCTTTGTACTTTTTTTCTACTTTTTTTTTTTTTTTTTAGATTCTCATATATCCTGAGAATAGCACCCATAAGATAGCCTTGTTAAAACTCTTGTTTCAGTTTATCACTATGAAGATAAATGGCTAACTTAAGTTGGATTTTAGCTTCAGGGAATTTCAAGCTTTGGAGACATTATCTTCCAGAAGTTTTAAGACATGCAGTTTTTATATATGAATTCAAATAAGATACAGCAATTTGTCTTGCACAAAAGCTAGGTAAGTTTCAGGTAAATAAATGCAATGCTTGTGACTTAGAAAGCTGCAAGGTTTCTCAAATCAACATTTTTCTTATCTTCTAGTGATTGGGAAGTTGTAACTAGTGAAAGGTGTTTTATTACCACTTACAGCTTCTTTCCACTTTTACTGCTGTTATACAAATCAAAAATTTCCTTCTGCAATTCTTGCCGATCTCAAAGGATATGTCTGCAGAGTGTGTGTGGTGGGGCTGGGAAAGGATACCAGTCTAAAATTGGTTTATGACAGTTTGTCCTTGCGATGTATTATCAAAACATACGTTGCTTTGTGAGCTGTGCTTTAAAAGCATGATGCATCTTCAGCCAGCACCACGGAAAACAATTTGGAGCTGTTGTCTGACATACAGCCTCCAGCTACCTGTCTGCAGAATGACAACAAAGGGTAATTATGAAAGTGAGGCATAAGAGAATATATTCCATAGATCTCAGTGCTTTTACTGGTAATAACTTTTCTGAGTATTTAAGATGCTTTATTGTGGTCTGGCTAAGTTAGACTGCTTCCTTAGGAGGACTGCAGATACAATGGAGTAGCTAACAATTTATAATGAATCAGTTGGAGCTGGAGTTGCAGTTCAGTAATTTGTTGCTTTCAGTAGCAACACAGATCTGATGTATTGTCACACCCGTGGGATGCAATCTTCTGCCCCATGGTAACACAGATATTTGTCAGACTGCAACATGTACTGGCTTGGAAAGTCGATCTGGCATTGAAGAACACAAATGTTTTCATGTTAATATTAGGTCAATTTGTGTTCTGCTGTTAATGTGGTTTGCCACTTCTGTCATGAGAAAACAGAGGATAGTTGAAAAGGTGGGTAGGAAGAGAACCCAACAGAAATAATTTCTAAAATCCATTGAATTTAAGCTTCAGATTAAATGGCAGCAGCTGACCTCAAAAAAAAAAGTTCAGTTCAAGATGAAGAAGATGCTGGGTAGGATAATTACAGTGTAGGTGGTACACAGCTGATACCCATTACTACTTTCTGTTTTTATTATGAAATTAAAATTTTAAACCAGTGTAAAAAGACAGCTTTTCTCTTAAACAATCACACTTCTGGTTTGGGAAAATATAAGATGCATTTTAAACATGTAGGCTGGTCTTCAGAAAGCTAATTAGCTATGTTTTAGGAACGGACATTTTTGTGTACTTTGCCATTGGTAACATTTACTTTTGTAAGTTTTGTTTCTTAGAACTGCTTCAGTAAAATTTAGATTTCTTGCAGCTTTCAATGGGTGACTGGTGCATGGGGTCTGTGCTGATTGCTGATAATAAAGAAAAAGGAAAACCTGGGCCAGATTCAAAGTTTAAAAGCTGTTTTTAACTTCTGTCTCTAACATCTTTGACATCACTTATATGTCTTAATTTGTAGCAAAATTGTTAAGTATTTGTTCACTTTTTCCTGGAACGATGTACTCCTAGTTTATTTTTGTTCGTTTCTGGAAAGGTGACATGCTTCTATTAGGTGGTTTATAATGAAGGTTTATTTCTTAGTATTTCTTATGCAGATTCAGTTGCTAAGTGATCTTGTTTACTTTTTTGCCTTGATGATTTAAATTATTTTTTTTTTTTCCCAAGTGCTGTTGAGTTAGTGCTGTTGCTTGGATGGAAATCTCTAGATTTGACTCAGAATGAGTCAACTATTATGTAAGCTGTTTTCTACTGGCACATACCAGTAGTGTTACCTGGTATTTTGATATCAAAAGTGATTATTTTAATAACTCAGAATAATGTTTAAGTAATCGGCTGGCAGGGGGTTGAAGTAGAAGTGAGTTGGGTTAGAGCATGCTGCAGGTAATGATCAAACTGTTCTTGGTTTCTACCAGGATTGGGGGTTGTAGTGGTAAAGTGAATTGAGCAGTATGGGTGCCACAGGTAAGCAAAAACTTTTGGCCTTTTGTAACATCTGGGGCCTAGTCTTGTCATCTATGTAATTGCTTTTTCCTGCATATTTTGTCTGCCAATATTCTCCCTTACTGCTAGTCTGTACCGGTAGCCTTGCAAAGGCATTATAGTTACAGAATAAGGAGGTTTAATTTAATTTTAAGCTTGAAGCTGATTTAGGCTGTATCATTAAAAAGGAGCAAGCAGACATTTAATCTAATTTTGTCTTTTGTCCTCCTCTTACCCTTCTCTCATTAGTAACCTTTTGTTAAAGCAATTTTAATTAATTAGTAAAGTCAGATAATGACATTATTTGCACAGCTTCTTTCATGGTAGGTGCCCAAGAAGAACTGAGTTTTCTTACAAAAGTTTGCCGTCAACAACTAGCGATGAGCCTCAGCTGTGTCAACAAACAATTTTAATTTTAGAATACAAGTAGAATCAATTTAGTAAGTCATGTTGTATTTAAAGGAGGAGTTGCTCATGCCAAGAAAAAAATAAAGCAGTTCATTCAACAGGAAAAAAAGTCAAATAGCTTCAGTTTTTGTACATGCACAGGCATTATCATTAGAGACATGGACACATGCATGTGGCAGAGTTTCTGTTGGTTACTTCAGCATGGATGCTATTGCTTTGTCCGTTGTAGCCTGAGCTATATTGTAATTGCTAAAATCGTATCCTGCCTTTCCTCATCTTTGTGATCTTGTGAAATAGCTTGCATGTGGCTAAAATAACTTGCTGTGAATTACAAGAAAGTTAAAGCTTTAAGTAGGTGAACATTTTTAAAAAGCCATAATGTCTGAAGACAGCATCTTCTGTTGCTTCTAGCTCATGCAAGTCTTACTTCTTGCCCATCTTTTGGTTTGATTTTCAAGGTGTTTGATCTCTGAACCTGAGAAATGTGTATTCTATACTCACCTGGTTGAGATAATATATTCACCTCTGTAGCTTAAACCAGTAGCTTGGAAACCTTGAGTTTATTCTTTATCTCAATGGCTTGCTTCATTCTGTATGTTGCAATTTCATCTTGAGGTCACTTTAATAGGTGTATGTTTAAAACAACTTAACTGTTTGCTAGTTCAGTGCATATTAAACATGAGGACAAGGCTACATTATGCTTACAGGACTTTTTTTTTTTTGAGAAGTTTTTAGCAGAAAAAGAAAAGGAGTGATGCCTTAAAAAAGAAAACCATTGAAAGGGAAATAAAAGCAGAGATGAGAAAAAAGATTATGAAGGAGGGAGACATTAAGAATGAAGTGGAAGAAGGGGAAATAATTAGGAAATACGAAGAAGAAAATGCAGTAAAGGCAGTGGAAGCAAATAATCAGACAAGATATTTATCTAGCAGAGGGGTTTATTTGGCACCTGTTGTCACAGTATCTGAACACATTTCATATATAATTAATAGTGTTAGCGAAGTAAATTGTGTCTGAGTGTTTCTCACACTTCTTGCTTGAGGTAGAGGGGTCTTCAGGGGTACAGCCAAGGGTAAAGTCTAGAATGAGAAGGGGATTCCCATGCTTTGTAACTCCTGTACTTGCTGTGGAAAGATGCTCTGAGAGGAGTTTTACAGCACTTCAGATTCTGGATTTCCATTTTTATTTTATTCTGGTTTTGTTTTGTTTTGCCCCCCCGCCCCTTCCCCCAGGAGGCTCTTTTGTAGGTAGCAGTTTTGCACTGACAGGACGCTGTGTGTCAGTCTTCCTTGGTAACACTTTCTTTTCCATTGACATTTCCCTAGAATACTCTGTGTGTGTTAGTTAGTCACAGATTGCTCCTTGATCTTAGCACTGCAGGGAAATCGTGTTTTGTGGGAACATATATGGTAATATGAAGGCAACAAGCAAAAGGGAGGAGATAGAGAAAAGGGAAAAGAGAAGGATGAACAAAAAAGTTTAAAACTCTTGCAAAATCTTATAAATTATGGAGTAGCTTTAGAAATAATTTAAGATCTATAATACTTTAGGCAAATATTTTAAATTTATTTTGAAAATTATTTATAACATAGAATGTGGGACTGCATAGACATGACTTTACAGTCCTTATGGAGCAATATGTTAGCTATGGTCTGGCAGCTTGCTTTTGAAAATTAAGCACCTTGACTTCTAAAGTTGGACTACCTCAAATGTCATGTTTTGACAGAATTTTCCTGTGCTGGTTTATGGTAGCCAAGTATCCCCTGCTGACACAGTACCCAGCCCTGAGGAACTCCTGGTCAGGAACAGTGTGTCTGCTCTATAGGAGAAGGAGGAAGCCTAAATTTAAATTCCTATCTGTTTTATAGATATCTAGTATACATGTCACATTAAAGTACTCTCCTTTCCCCCATCTGTAAGCCACTTGCTTTGAGCTTTCAGGTGGGGAACAGTGAGAGTGACAGGAAAATGTATTACAGATTATTCAGTTTCATTAGATGTTAAAATGGCAGCAACCACTGCCTCGGGCTTCTTAGGTGGTGTTGATAATAACATTTCATCTTCAGTCAAAAGACAGTAAGCTAACATACTGCAGTGAAGCTGAGTTTTACAGTGCTTTCACTAAAATTGAACTTGTTTTTCTTGATAGTTTCAGGTGGGGTGCTCCCACACTGTAGTGATCCAGTTGCAAAGTAGATGGAGTGGAATTTTATGTAAGAATAAGAAAAAAAAAAAAAAAAAGTTGAAAGCTCCTTAGCATCTTTCCCCAGATCCCCAAGGGCAGACGTTTTCCTATGCAAGTTTATATTGCAAGGTGGCTCCTTCAGAGCATGTTCTTAATATCCCTTGAATTTCTTCTATGATAAAATATCCTGTTTTACTTTTCTCATAATGGTCTGGGGTAAATGACAAACACAGGTGTCTTTGGAAATACAAAGCTTGGACATGATTTCAGGTTTAGGGCTACCAAACTCAGAGATGACTTTTATGACTTTCTTGGGTTTACCAGGGTATGACCCTGAATGTGGTAACATTATAACAATGTGGCATAAGAGAAGCCTTGTTATTACATCAGATAAATTAGTAGAAGCTAAAAGAATTATTTTTTTTTCCTAGCGTTATCTTAGCCCTAGGTTACCAACATCTAATCAGCCAAATGCTTCTGACATACAATTTACCTTTTGCTTTGCAAGTCTTGTCTGTTTGGCAATCCTGCAGGTTCTAGTATCTGTCTTCCCTGCTGGCACAGTACCCAGCCCTGAGGAACTGCTGGTCATGAACAGAGCCTGTGTGCTCTACTAAGAACAACTAGGAAGCCTAAATTTAGGTTCCTATCTGTATTATAGATATCTAGTGTACAAGTTACAGGCTCTGCGTTGTCTCCTGGAACATTTAATCTGGCTCTAATCTGCTGCTAGCTGCCATATTGATCAATGAATGAAGTAAAAAGCAAACTATTTTGTGATTAGGAGTGTGGCTTGAGTTATTTAATTTTATAAGCCATAAAGAGTCTTGCGTACTAACATCTATGCTACCAAGACTAGAATGTACTAGTGATTTTGTAAAGCTGGTGTGTATTACTCTGGACTGTAAGTAAGGATTGTTGGTCGGGGGAGAAGCTAAAATGCCTTTGTTGGCATTGGTACCAGGAAGTGGAAACACATGAACTGATGAATAGAGCAAGAATGTCACATCAGCACAACATGGCTGAGAATTTCTAAAAATCTGCATATTCCCTCCTTTCTCCCAGTTGTAATGCATTAAAGAAAAGCTTTCCATTCAAGTTAGCGTGACAGAATTGTTGACGGATGACCTTGAATGCAGTATTGCCTGATGTTCTTCTCTTTTTTACAGAAAGATCCAGATTACCTGAAGCTCTGGTTGGATAGTTTTGTTTCTAGCTATGAACAGTTTTTGGATGTGGACTTTGAGAAGCTGCCAACAAGGTATGTAGAATTACAGATCTGTTCATCTTTGTTTGATATCTGAAACAGGCCTGGCTGAGAACCCAGTCTTGTTCAATGGCAATAGTGCCTTTAAACAGGAGAAAGATTTTTAGTTGTTGAGTGGCACTCCCATTCTTTTGAAGGTCAAGTTGGGTTGGGAATGATGAAACTAGGTATTTGCATTATATCAGGAGATGCCATGAGCATTAACTTGTTCTTGCTCATAGAAATATAATCATGATACCTTGTGCATTTTTTTAATAAGTATTCATTAAATATTGCATATGAAATAGTATTAGTCAGGATTAGTGTTTGATATCTGTATCAGCAATGATTGAAGAGAAGTAAGATGTAGGTAAAGGGTTTTGTAATTTTATTTCAGGGATTGCTCTAAGATTAAGGATGAGATGAAGTGCTTAATGAAACATTTGGATATCTTTGCTGAAAACATGATGGACTTTAAAGTGATTTTTTTTTCTTTGCATCTGTGAAGACTTTAGTTAAGGGCAAGGCTATTGCTGACTTCACCCATGTTGCTGATCATAAATTCTCAGACACAATCAGGAGGTGGTATTGAAGTCTAATTTTGGAGTTCTGTATTTAGTATTTTGAATCTGTCTGCGGTGTTCCAAGGATCGTGTTTTCAAGACTAACTTTGGAAATGAGGAATAGAAACTTAGGCACTGGGTGTTTTTTCTTGCTTTTGAGACACTTGCATGAACTAAGGGTTTTAAGAAAAAACAAATGTTACAGTATTCAGAAATCATGGGAACTGGTGTCAGTATTATAGCTGATACCACTACTGGTGTTTGAATGCAAAGAATGGTTCTCCCTGTGTGATGGCTGCAGTCCAAGCCCTGTTGAAATCAATGGAAATTCTTTAATGGGCTTTGGATCAGATCCTGTTTGAAGCGTAAGTGATAGCTTCTACTGTTACAAGGAAACGAAGAACGCTGCAACTGGATCTCAGTGGATAAAAACTGGTCGTCTTGGCTCTTTGTATTAAAATTTTTCGCATAATGCCTATATGAATGCAAAAGTTATAGTGCGATTACCAATAAGCAAGACATTCAAGTTAATTCTGTGCTCTTTCAGAAGATCTGTTTTCTTTGCAGTGTCAAAAATGCACCTTATTGTGTTTAGTTAAGGAAAAAAATTCATCCTTTGACACGGTTTATCTTTAACATGCTATTTAATATTGAAATCTGAACAGTGGAAGAGAAGAATATCTTGGTACTTTCAGGGTTTTGAGGTTTTTTTGGTTTATGTGTGTTCATGGTTTTGCGGTTTTGTTTTGGTTTTTCTTTTTACACCAACATAAAAGCTAAAAACCAAACATGAAGCTTAGTTGTGCAGAACAATAGCAGCATCTTCATTGTGCTTAATGATGGTTTTGTGAGCATGAAAATAGGGTATTTTTCTGAGGTTAATGACAGGATTAGTGATTTAGTCTGGAAGAATAGGCCCATGTGGATTTAGACTCATCTGTGTAACAGATGTAGAGAAAATGTATCAAAACAACATCGGATGAAGGCAGATCGTTCCTGTGCTTTGAAGGCTGGATTAAAAATTACAGTGTTTGAGAACAGATATTAGAATTAACAAAGAATTACAGTTTCTGCCCTCATTTGCATTTGTGAGATAATCATGCATATGAAAAGTGGCATCTTCCTGGGGTCTGTCAATTTAGATTGCAGGCATTTACATTGTAGAACTGATACTGCTAAGCATGAAAAAAAGAACAAGTAGGTCAGTGTGGAAACACCAAATGCTGATTTCCAGTGACTCTTCTCTTGGGGCCATAGGACTCTGTGGACTCAAGTTTTTTTTACTGGAGCTGCTTATTAAGTAACTATTTCTGTCTTTTGGTCTTGGAAATAATATATGATGCTAGTTGAAGTGAGAAACTGAGTGGACTAATACTTTCTTTTTTCCTTATATAAGTCTTGGTGTGCTTTACAGTGATATGCCTGAAAGACATTGTGTACCAAAGGGCAAATGCCAGGAAATAATGAGAAACTGTAGGGAGAAGAAAGCTTGTGCAGATTGCTGGACAAAACTAACCTTTTGGAAGACAAGCATGAAGTTTTGTGTCAATGTAAAACATACGTGTTTTTTGGCATCCAAGAAACACCACTTAAGAAATGTAATGAAACTATCAGTGTTTTTCTTTCTTTCTTTTTTTTTTTTTCCCCCCTGAAAAAAGGACTCTTAATTGGCACTGTCACTTGCTGATCTAACTGGTAACAGTATTTCTTCTATAAATGAAAAATATATAATTTCCTGAAATCTGCTTTGGAAATCTGAAAGATATTGCATAGTGCAGAATTAAGAAATCTGTAAATACAGAGGATGAGTCTATCCAGTGGTATGATTTGACTGTACAAGTAGAGCTTATACAGTTATGCAGCTTATAGGCTTATACAGCTTCAGTTCTACATCCATCTTTGTGCATCTACCCTATATTTTTAAGTGAAATGGTTCGTTAATGGCGTTTTCAATTATTTTACTGAGAAGGTGAGGTGATTTTACTGAGAAGGTGAGGTGATTTTACTGAAATGGTGGGGTGATTTTACTGAAAAGGTGAAAACAGCTATGTTGACGGCTTTGAGCATTGAGCAGAAAAGATTAGTGCACCTGTCTGTTCTTTCCC